ACTCTCCCTTTTCTGTTTTAAGTGGTTTTCTAGGGTCCTTGCTTCTTTCAAGATTCCATCAAGTTCTTGGACATAAGAAGCATCCATTGCTGCTCTCTCACTTAATTGAAAACAAAAACAAAACAAAAATGACCCACAACTGAAGTTAAAATTAATACTGAAACCAGTAACTGCTTTTATGCTTTACTTAAGTGTGCAGTCTACCAATACTCAGTTTCTGACCAATTTATCTGTTCTCTATTGTAACAGAGAAAAGCACTTTTATTTCAAGATCTATGGTTTATAATTTTCACCATATGTTTTTATATACAGCCACAGTAATCAATCATACCAAGAAAAGTTAGAAAGAAGTGCTGTATAAATAGGACAGTTAACTTGCCTTAAAATCTGGGCATATTTTGATAACAAGTTCTTAATTTCTTTGTTCATCTCTGTTAAAAGGAAAAAGTAATTTTATTTTAACAGTTGAATGAATCTTCATCTCGACATCCCATTCATTAATTCAGTAGTTACTTTAAGTATATTTAATACATCACCAGTTAAAACCTCTTCCAGTGGTTCAGGTTTGTAAAGGGACTGGGAGCTCTCAGAAAAAGCCAAGTCTGTTTTGTCAGTGGAAGACAACTGAGGATTCTCTGTGGCTTCATTCTAGTAAAATACAATAAATTAATAAATAAATAAACAGATTCTAGGACTTGAAACATGCTCAGCTTGTCTGATCAAATTTAACTGAAAACAGCAAAAAGTTTCAAAAAGATCTCAACTGTTTTCACAGAAAGCCAAGTGCTGGTTCCTGTGCCAACGCCCTCTGTTAAGAGCAAGCACAGCATCACTATACTAGGGTGTGGCTGGAAAATCCTAGGATTTTTGCCTCTATCAGTAAAATCTGGTGCACTTCAGTAGTTCACTCTCGAGAGGCCCTATGTAACCATGTTGCAGTGCACACCCCATTTTGTTGATCTTCAGTCTGAGAAGGTTCCTCACAGAAGTCATCCTTGTTCCCCTGTCAGCAGAGAGGACAGAACACCTTGTATAAGGGACCAAGGAGAGCCATGGGGCTCTCTGCCCCTCTCTGTGACAGGAACTCGCAGCAATGCCAGAGCAGCAGCTGCAGCATGCCTCGCTCCACTGAATCATAGAATGAATCATAGAACGGGTTGGGTTGGAAGGGACCTCAAATATCATCTACATGTAGTTCCAACCACCCTGCCATTTTCAGGGACACCACCCACTAGATCAGGTTGCCTAGGGCCTCATCCAACCTGGCCTTGATCACCTCCAGGGATAGGGCACCCACAACCTCTCTGGGCAACGTGTGCCAGTGCCTCACCACCCTCTGAGTGAAGAATTTCCTCCTAACCTCTCATCTAAATCTCCTCTCTTTTAGTTTAAAACCATTCCCCCTCATCCTGTCATTATCTGATTGAGCAAAGAGTCGCTCTGCATCTCTTTTTAAGCCCCTTTTAAGTACTGAAAAGCTGCAACGAGGTCACCCGGGAGCTTTCTCTTCTGTAGGCTGAACACCCCACTTGCAGTGAGCTCGTCCCTCACTGGGGCTGCAAGGGCGAGACCCTTCCTCACACAGAACTGCTCACCTCCATCTCTTTTTTACGTTTACTTCTATTCTCATCGGATTTTTGTGCGTTGCTTGTCATTGTTACCTGATTAGAAGAAAAAATAAATAAATATGTACAACATTCAGATTTTGCGAGCAGTTACTGGGTGTAACTACTGGGAAATAAACCTGCACAGACACCTGACAAATGTGCGACCAACACCTCTGTGACCGCTCCACACACAGCACCTGAGAGGGCTCCGCGTCCCGGGGTGGGCAGTGGGGGCTCCCTCAGGGAGATGCCGCCCCCCCGAGCTCCCCTCAGGGCGGCTCCGGGGCCTGGCGGCCGTTGGCGGCCGTTAACGGCCGCCGCGAAATGGCGGCGGCAGAGGGGAGGAGAAGAGGAGCTGGCTCCTGAGGCGAGGAGAAGCCGTGCCGCCGGCTCAGGCGGCCGAGGGAGGGGTGTCACAGCCCGGCCACACGCCTGGGTTATCCCTGGGCCCACGAGGCCGCCCGTAGGCACCGTGTAGTTGTGCCAGGCACTGGGACAGCGCTGGCAGTGTCTGTCGCAGGTGGCATGGCAGTGGGAAGCAGGGGCTGCTTGCAGGTGTCTAGGCCAGATGGACCCCTTTCAAAAATTTGGAAGAGCCTGCAAATGCGTAAATCTGAGCAATTACATCAGACCTATAAGACTAGGCTACTTCCAAGACAAACGGGGCTTTTCTATAAAATGGAAAAAAAGATTGCATTTTCCTTACACTGTAGGTAAACAGTGTACAGTTTCACTAGGAAGTGTATGAGTCAGATAGTGTGGTGAGGTTGCTTGCTTACAGCAGCAAGAGGCTGGCCACCACGATCCGGGAAACCTTCAGCATTACACCTCATGTTCTTAGTCCAAAATGTTCAACACCATTCTGCTGCTGCCTTCCTAAACCTCAGGTTGATGAGCTACAGTGAAGAAAATAGTCACAAAATGTGAAGTTACGTTGGAGTACAGGGGACTTTTCATGCATCTTTCATTTCTGGTTAAGAGAACAGATCTTAACGTTACACGTTTTATCCATATATCCTCTGAAAGTCAGAACTCAGGGTAAGAAGTGAAACTGCTGAAAGAACAAGAACTAAGCACTTCCTCAAAATAGAAGCAATATTCAATTCACTGTCATGGCCCACTTCGTGAAACTCTCCAAAAATACTGAAGAACCCTATCTAACATTATAAAATAGATACAAAAGAAATATGCCAATTTAATATTAAGTTGTTATTAATATATTAATATTTCTACTAACAGACCACCTGACTCATAATAAATGAACTATGTGTTTTTGTTTTTTTTTTAACCACTTTCTGTATCTTATGGATGTGATAGTCTATGGAAAGAGGTCAGAAAAAAATAATAAAGAAAAAAGAAAAAAAGTCTAAGCAATTACTATAAAAGTAGTTCCTGTTCCTTTAAAATTAGAGATATTAAAATAGCAGGAGAAATGAAAGCTTAAGACTTAAAATAAAAACAATTGTTATGAGTTAGACCCCAGCCCTTAAAAATGCAAATATGTAAAGACTAAGAGGAAAAAAAACTCCAATTTGCTAAATGACCTAACTGAATTTTTACTATCTCAAAGGTTGAAACAACAGACCAATTTTTGTTAATACAGAATTAACAATATTGGCTGACTGGCACTTTTTTTTTTTGGTGCTTTTGCACAACCTTCTGTACCAAGTACAATATTATTTAATATTTCACTAGTGATCTGCATGTAAATTTAGACTTAATAATGAAAAAATGCAAAAGAATAAATAATAATTACAACATTAATTTTATATATATGTTAATGAAACAAAATGTTAGGTATCTGGGAAAGAGAGACACAAGCAGTACCACCCAAATGGGGGGCTCTCCTGAATAAAGCTCTGGTTTCTGAATTATTAAAAATCAATTAAAAGTCAATAGAAGGAAGACAAGATTCGTGAGTATTATTTTAAGCCAAAAGAAAATTATTCAGAGGGAGATGCTTAAAGAAGTGAAACTTTTTATTTTCATTGAAAGAAACCAAGAGTCAATTTGATCGTACTTTATAACTTCAGAGGAAGGAACTATCTGTTACATAATAGCTATCGGGAAAACTTACAGGAACCAACAATCAGAAGCAGAAATCAGTTATATTTTAAGAGACGTGTGTGTGTATTACTGCAAGAACCAACCATTCAAGCAGAATGCCAAGAGAAATGATAGAATTACAGCTGTTATATATTAAAATAATCTAGGTCTAATTGTTTAAATCAGATCTGGAGATCTCTTTGGTATAGGTTAAGGTGAACAACACACACTGTGAATGCCTTGTAACAAAACAAGAAAATGGAAGAGGATAATATAATATTGCTCTCTGATGTGAATTTAGTGTGATTGAGTGCCTATAAATAATTACACTTATTATCTGAAAGCAGTAGCTACCAAAAATTTATTTTTATCTGCCTGAAACATGAAGTTTTACTCCGTGGAAAGTATATTCCAGTAACTAGGCAAAGAAAAAATCTGCCTCCTGAGAAATACTCTGCAACACCTGCATTCTTCTGCTTTTTATAATTTATTCTAGATCAATTTAATTAGTTTCTTTCAACAGTTTCAAAGAAACAATACATTTCTGCAGCTAGCACGTGTTTTTTATCTTAACCTGTTTGTGAGGTACAGACAAGAACCACAGTCATTAATAAAATAGACAGTACTTCTATTTCCCAATTATTAGCTCAGAAGGGGTATTGAAAGACACCCCTTTGGCCTCAGAAATACCTCCTTCGGTTTAGGGTAGAGCCAGGAACACATCGCCTACAGACGGGTACAGCTGCCCCGCTGAGAGACCAGCACGGGGACAGGGGAACAACGGCTCAGCTTGCGTTGTCGTCTGCTCTACCGCTTTATTTTTTTTTTTTTTTCCTCACCGCCCAGTACTAAAAATGTATTGAATCCTACAAACTATGCAAAATATCGGCGAATAATTCGATCCCGGGTTTGTTTTCTTGCTTTTATGTCCTACCGCTCCACGGTACTTGCCGCTGCAGGGACTGCAGCTCCCGCCGCCCACGGGGCAGCCGTGCCTCCTGCGAAACACCCCGGCTGGGGCTGGGGCAGCTAAAAGAACCCTTCCAGCCAGCACCAATTTATTTATTCCCAATTAATAAGGACTTGCGAAGCAATTCACGTGCTGGTGCAAATTAGGAGATATTCATTCACCTGTTTTTAACTGTCAGCTGTATGCTTCTGGCTTTTCCTTTTCCTTAAGAGCTGCCAATATTTCTCCCCTGTGGTTACAGCTCTACGGAGGGTGATCAGAGGGAGGACTTCGCAGACAGCAGCGATGTATTTCTTGCTGCTGCTTTGGTAAAGAGCCCGAGGCACGCAGCATGCCTTAGGTCCGAGACTGGCTTCCCTACAGCAGTCAGCGTTTAGGGGCGAGTGTGCAGAGAGGGAAGGAAGGGCTGCCTGCTGCCGGCATCGTGCCGAGAGCCTGGGGAGGGTAACTTGCTGCCGTGGGAACGAGCCCTCCTCTGACAGCATCGGCGTGAGGTGGAGGGACGAGAGAGAGAGAGAGAGAGAGAGAGAGAGAGAGAGAGAGAGAGAGAGAGAGAGAGAGAGAGAAAAAAGTGTCCTTCGTAACCTCGAATTTGCGTGATTGGCTTTCTTCTTAGGGGAAGTGCCACCCCTACATGCCGACGCGCACAAACGCTCCAGGAACCGAGCCCCCCGCCCTGAAATCCCCTCCCGCTATCGCCAGGAGCCTCGGGAGGAGCGAGGCGAGCCCCGAGCCCCGGCAGCGCTCCCGGCTCTGCTCCTGTCCCCACGGACACGCCTGGACCCGGGGCCGGGGGCTCGGCTCCCCTGGGGGTCCCGCAGCCCCTCCGAACCGCTCCACCGCCCCCAACACCGAGGTAAGGGCGCTGCCGCCCGGGGAAGGGGCGGTGGGTGCCTCGTGGGAGTGGGGCACCCCGAGATCCGGGGGATGGCTGCTGTCCCTGATCCCTTCTGGGGGCTGTGGAGCTGCCCCTGCCCCTGCTGCCCCTGCCGCCCCTGCCCCTTCCCACTGGGTGAGCAGGGATCCCACCCGCACCCTCTGCTCGGCAGGGAGTCCCTGTGCTGGGTTTACCCGCCAAAACGAGGGCCATCTTTAGTCCTTTATCCATAAATCCCGCTTATGCTTTCCCCGCTGCTTTAGAATAATAGTCCTCGACTTCTTGGCTCGCTCAGCTATGTGAGGCTCGTGCTGGCTGGTGGCGTGGTATTTCATTTCAAAGGCTTGTGTGTGTGCGTGTGTTCAGAAAGGAGGGTGCCGTCCTCTGCCATGAACCTGGCTGTCTCTTCCACCCCAACCAGCTAGTGCTATACAGGCTACAAAAATGAGGAAAAGAATGGCTCCCAAATACATTCCTTAGTGTGCTCTTTCTGGAGGGACAAGGAAGTCACCATGATTCCTCCCCACCAATCCCTAAGGCAGACTAAGTTGCTCAAGTGTATTTGCTTTATAATTTTGTTTAAGTTGCGAAAAGGAGCCTTGGAAGTAAGCCAGATGCTCTGACTGCACAGTAAAATGATGGTGCAAGAGCCTGTTCTTCCCATTGTTTGCCCAGGTTTAATGCTACATTTGTCACTCCAGCAGCTAGCACAAGGGAAAAAATGCCTGGACGGGAAGTGGTAGGTTTGAATGGAGCCCTTCATGTTCTAGGCTACTTAGAACAACCATGTGCATTCTGTGCACTCTGCTGTGACTCTCTTCTCCCCTGCATAGTGCACAGCAAGACGCAGCTCCAGCTGAAGGCTTGCAGATGCTGGGCTCCCGACGGTTAGAGGCTGTGCTGCTGACTGTCACTCTGCCTGTTGCTGGGTGCAGCTGGCCAAACGTAGAGCGCCTATCACAAAGCCAAGCAAAGCAGATCTTGCAGATAGCAAAGTGAGCTGTGTATTTTCTGAAAGTGAAAAAAAGTGTTTCAGTAAATCTCTTGCTCATTTTCCTAAGATGCAGACCAAAATGAAACAGGAAGGAAAGTGGCAACCTGCATTTCACAAAATTCAGTGGCATAGAAAAGGACATTTTAAAACTCTACTGCCAGAGAAGTGAAAGGATGTCGTATCTTCCTCTGCTGTCTATAATCTCTTTTTAACCTTTCCTTTAAGGATAGTAGATGCTGTTTTAATTTTGAAGAGGATATTATTTTTTTTTTTTAAATAAATGCATTCTAGTGTTTATTTATTAGATTTATTGCTTCCAATAGCACTAGAATAGACCAGAATTTCTGAAATACTTCTTTACAGCCCTAGTCAGGTCACTCCAGGTCACTTTTGTTTTATTTTGTATTTTTTTTTCTCCTGATGCACTGCCAGAACTAAGACATGGAGAAGCCTGTGCTCTGTGAAGCAACACAGTCTGTTCAGGTGTATCTCTTTTCTGCCAGCATAGTTGGAAACTTTTAGATAGAAGAAAAGGGGTGAGTGCAGTCATAGGCAAGTGGAAGGGGTAGAGCAAATTTATGGCCATTACCGTGCTGTTTTACACACTAATGGCTCTCAGTCACTGTGTCAAAAAGTTAAAGAACATGAAGTCTAGCTGGCTGTTACCGGTAGGAGGTCAAGGACAAGAACAAAGCAAAACCAAATTATTTTTCTGGAGTTCCTGGAGGGGTTGTGTCTTGACAGTAGAGGCACAGTGCAAGCCTGAAGAATGCAGAATAAGGATCAAAACCTCTGAGGTGCAGAAGCTGCCTGGACTTTAATGATTAGTTCAGGGGTTTGGTGAATGACAGGTGTTTTTTCTGAATGCAAGCGTGCCTTTTCTTCCTCACTTTGCTCTGTGTCAGTCTTGAAAGAGAATAGCTGTGATACATTGGTAAAAATAAGGTTAAAATATCATAAGCACATCTCCAGTACTGCAAAACAGACTACATCTCTGCTTCTCTAGGCACCTGTACAAGGCCAGCTCAAGATGCACTTGAATAGCTAATTTCAACATAATGTTTAGACTCTTTGGGCTGTCCTTACAGCTAATGGAAAGACACAGGCTATTCTAGGGGGCAGTCGAAGCAAGAATAAGTTTTGGGCATTCTGCAAGTTCTTGGTCACCATTCCAAGTCATTTCCTTATGAAAAATGAGAAACAGAAATGGCCGTGTGATAGTAAGACAATTTTTGCAGGCCTGAGAGAACAGAACTAATTTGATGAAATATGTTTATGGAGCTACTTATTAGCATTCCCACAGAAACAGAAAATGAGTTTGTATAATGTTATATATGGAACAATTATTTATTTAGTGAAATGTACTTTGGACCAGATCCTTTTTTCATGTAATATCACATAAATCAATGGAAAGTTTTATAAACTAGAAGAACTTTCAGGATGCTCTGTGTAATTCTAAATAATGGCAAAAGGCAACAGAGAAGGAAACCAAATGTCCTTCAAAAACTATTTTTCCAGATACAGTGAAATATGCTGTCACTAATGTGGTGCTGTGCATTAGAGGCAAACTCGCCCAAGAACTCCCTCACTGCACAAAGTAAGCATTGTTCCTAACCCTGAGCTCTCTTGTGTTTTTTGGCAGGGTGAAGATGAGCTGTGAATTGATGGTTGTGTGTGCAGTACAGCTTGGAGAGAACCTCTGCCTCTATTTTGCTGGTAATGATTACCCCCTGCTTAAAGAGACCAGGTGTTTCTGGTACCCACACAGAAGATCAAAAGATGCTAGACAATTCAACCCTTTCCTTGGGCAGGCATCCCTGCTTCTGTGGACATGTTTGTAACCCCCAGACTACCTAAGCAATCCTCTAAACTTATACTACTCCCACCGCTTTAGTAGAGTTACTGTTCTTTGATTATGCAGCCAGGCTGCTCAGTGCAAAAAGCACCTGAGTTTGTGATAGCTGTCCCAGTGAAGTAACAGGTCAGTACCATACTATTGGTGAACACCGTAAGCTTTCACTAAATTTCTCTGTTTGAACACTGATGAAAAATAACTCTTTTATAACACTCCACTTTCACATAATTTTCCCCTAAGCTTCTTCAGCTTGAAGTATTGTAGCCAAAGTATATGAGTCAGTGGAATAATTACTGCTTTATATAAAATATTCTGGTAACTTGGAAGGATTTTTGGCTTGTGGATGGAATTGGAATAACTTGATAACTTCCAGACTTACAGTCTAAAAATGGCCTCTTCTTTGGAAGCAATCCGAAATGAAATTGCTCAGTTAGAACAAAGGTGCCGATGAATGCAGAATTGTGCATGCCATCTATTCCTTGAATGCAGGTTGAAACTGAATTAACCCGAAAACATTTTGCATGCTTCTTGGTTTGGTGATAACTTCACTTCTCAAATGACTGTTGGCTTCGCCATTCTATTGAGCATGTTATGCTCACAAATGAAATGCTATGAAGCAAGAACAGCTCAGTTCGGTGGCTTAGGGATACTGGGGAGTACAGCTCAAAATGCACAGGTTTGACTGGCTGAACATTTTCCAGTTTTGCTGTATAAAATTGGTTAGAAATCTGTTTATTTTGTAGGGCAGAGATTGACTTTTCTTTTTTTTTTTTTTTAATTGCTCACTTGGAACCAAGATGACGATGGTAAGCTGAAAGCTCATCATTTATTACTTCATAATCAATTATATCTAAACTAACCTGCCTGGGTGTACTAACACACAGAAGCTTTGCGTGCCTGAGAGAACAAGTTTTTAAACTGATTAATGACTGCTCTAAAAGAGAGCTACAGCTTACTCCTTTCTGAAGTTGATGTTGCTTTATTTCTCCTGAAGGAAGTGCTTCCCTAATACAAGAAGCTTTTCATGTGATTATAATTTTGGGCAGAAGAGAGAACTGTTGCTTCTGTACTTGCATTAACAGAATTTGTAGCTTCTCTCGCTTGCTCCCGACTCCTTGTATTTTGGCAAATCCTTCTGTCTTGCCTGGATTGCTGAGGTAGAGGTGGAAAGAACAAGACAGCTTCTGCTCCATTTGATATTGCTATTATAAGAATTTACTGTGCATGCTATCTTCAATTTTGCATGCTATCTTAAATTAAGCCTGTAGTGACCTGTTAAGATCTAAGCAGATTAGTTTTATTCCCCTTTGCTTAATATTTTCTGCAGAGCTGGAATGTGATGCCTTCTCTAAGGAAAAAACCCTCCATCGCTTCCTTCGGAATGTAAATAGCCAGGTGCTTGTGGTCCAGCCAGATCTGAACATGGCAGCTTTTGAAGATGTAACAGATCAGGAGATGAAATCTGGTACACTATTTTTCATGTCTTACAACCATTGTACTATTTCTTTATTCTAGATGGGCTTTTGTTCTTTGTAATCACTGAGTCTAAATAGTGAAACCGAGAGTAAAGACTTAGATTTCATCTATAAGAATAAAATTCAGCTAAGAGAGGTAGGACATACTTATGGCTAAGTTTTTGCAGCTCTCTTCCAAGCAGACCATTAATAGTTTCAAAAAATTTATATTTAGGCAGCGGAATGAACTTCTGCATGCACTGTTACAAAACTACCACACCTTCAGCAGGGATGCCTGTTGCATTCAGTGTCCGGGTAGAAGATAAAAGCTACTACATGTGTTGTGAGGAAGAACACGGGAAAATGATAGTTCGATTTAGGGTAAGTGTCCGCTTTTCATACCCTATGTGTAGGCAACATTAAGCATTCAAACATACGTGAGCTGAAACAAAACAGCTCGAGTCTTGTGCTAGGACTGACCCATTCCCTTTTTTCCTCAGGAAGGAGAAGTTCCCAAAGACATTCCTGGTGAAAGCAACATCATCTTCTTCAAAAAGACATTTACATCTTACAGCTCCAAGGCATTTAAGTTTGAATACTCACTAGAACGAGGGATGTTCCTGGCCTTTGAGGAAGAAGACTCCTTAAGAAAATTAATTTTAAAGAAACTGCCAAGAGAAGATGAGGTAGATGAAACCACAAAGATAACTTTAACAAGTCATAATGAAAGGTACAACCTGTGATTACTAAACAGTCTTAAAATAAAATTTGCCTTTTTAAAGAAACTCTAATTCATTCTTTATCTAAAGCAAAATAGGTTGATAAATTTCAATAAGGCAATACAAAAATGAGCTTCTTACAAAAGGAAACCAAATACATGTTATTGGGGAAAAGAAGAATTATGCCAGTAAGACAGAAGCAAAGAGAATTACACAATGAATAAACAAAAATGTGCATGCCTCTATGGTCTTGTATAGTTTCAGCCCTAAAGACTTCAGAGTTTGTTGATCAAACTGCTTGTGAGGTAGATGTCTCATAGGTGAAGCAGACTTATTATGGGGACAGAGAGAAAGCTAAAAAAAAATTAAAAATTAGTAACAATCAACCCTCACGTTTACTACACAGGCCAGGAACCTGGTCAAATAAACATGTTGTGGTTTTGCACTATGATCATGTCCCAAGGGTCTTCATCAATTCTGATTACACGGTGGCATTCTCACTTTCAACTGAAGTAGAAACAACAGACAATTTCTACTGGAAACTCACCAGAATCTTTGATTAGAAAACTGGTAACCTAAGCAATTAAAGCTCTAATAAAGCCATTTGTCTTCAGAGGGCCCACTAAGAAAATAAAAGGGGGTTAAAACTTAACAGTAAGTTGTAGATTACTGATCATACACATTTGTACATCTAACATGCTGTTAACAATGAAGGCAAATGTGGTTCCACATGGAACCTTACTGAGTATAGAACAAGGCAGCGTATGTTGGGAGTGAGCTGTGAACTCTATTTCACATTGGCAGTCGAGCCAACACTGGAATTTGACGAAAATAAGATTAGTGTAATATACTTTGGATATTTACTCTTGAGGAAATTGACGACACATTATTCTCATCTTCCATGTATGAGATAGGCATTGTTCCTCTTCTGATCCAACTGGAGGCAGTGATTAGTTGAACATGGGTGGCAGCTGGGTCCTGGGTCTTGCCAGGCAGAAGAGAGTATAACTGTTATTTACCATGCAAGCAGAAGTAATCAGAGCAAACAGGAAGGTTTCTGTCATGAAACAGGAAAATTCTCAAGCTTGCAGAAGAGAGAAGACTCTAATTTTGGTATAAAAAATAAAATTAGGGGCTTTAAAAAGTATGGAAGATGGAGACATGGAAGTGCTGTGCTAACCCTGCCTACCAGCTTTCATGCTGTGCTGCACCTGAGCTTTCATCTCTTTAGCTGATGCAGGAGCACCTGAGGCAATCAGACTCAGAGAAAGCTCTGCTTGTTACCTTTCCATTCTGGTCTCAAAAATTGACCAAGCTGGTTGCAGAGCTGCTAACCCCTACAATAGTTGGTCTGGCCTACTCCATTCCCAAAACTCTGACACAACTCATTTCTCACACGAGGTATCTTAAGCAAATACCACATACTGATGCATCGTATGTTCAGTCTATACAGAGAAAATGTCCACCACCTTCTATAACTGCTCAGATTCCACAGAACTATCCAACAATGACTCGTGCTTCCTCCTCACTGTATAGAAATTGTGTTACGTTGCTATCCACATCAGAGAGAAGCAACCACCTTGATTCTGACAGCAACTTTAGCAGAACCCAACTGGCCAGCTGTATAATATTTCCCATGGTTATATGAATGAAAAAAAAAATAAACAAACAAAGAAAAGATTCAAAAATCAACTCAGGAAATCTTGTTGAATTCAGCAGTTTACTGATTCTGCTTATTGCATAATCACACTGATGGTAACACAATTCTGTTCCTCTTACTATTAATAGCACCTCAAAAGTACCATTAGAACGTGGAAACAACCACTCCTTACTATTAAGCCAGTCTGAGAAGAAAGTTAAAAACCGTAATCTCATTTCTTCCCCTGAAATCCTCTGAAACCTAAAGATATGGAAAAGAATGCTGCCTCAGTCTCAAGTCAGGCCATGACATAAAGGGTATACTTCCTTCCTTTTTTACTCACATGGGAAAAAGTGTGGCTGTGTTGATTTAGAAAACACAAAATGCTGCACCTGAGTGTACAGGTTGCAGGGAAACTATGAAAGCCATATGCTATTTGTCTCCTCGAATTAATCTGCAAAAGTCTAAGTCAGTTATTGCTTTATTTTATTATGGAAATTACTCTTCTATGAAGTCAAGAGTATGTCAACCCTTTAGGAAAGAAGGACGATACATATTCATAACAATATCTGTTCTATAACATTTAAGTGACATAAAGCAGAGATAGAGCTGTAAGTATTTGAATGTGATTTTAGAAGAGATCTGCAGAGAAAAATAGCAGTATTAAAAATCACTCAGAAACACACATGCAATTTCTGTAAATTCTTTATTGTATGGATTAAGAAAAAAGTATTTCCTTTTCTACCTCAACTCTCAGGATCAAAAGAATGACAGGGAGTGCCTTACATACAGTTCAGTTGTGATGTCAGAAATAACAGTTCAATTTTCACCAAGTTTGCTTTACAAAGCAGGAGACTATTTTAGAAAACCAGTCATGGAAAGCTGCCATTATAATGAAAGTTATCTTCAGCTATACTTTCCATCTTTGATATACTTAATTACTCCAAATTTGCAGTGCAGCTTTAATCTACTCACTCTCACCTGGACATTATCCACTTTGTATCTTCTACTTCCTTTCTAAGATTTTTAATGCTCTTGCAATAAATCAAAAAAAATGATGAAGTGGCTGCAGAATTTACATACTACAGACTCTTGGTTATTCATTTCTCATCTCAAACACATCAGTAAAAATATGGTAAAGCGAAGGCAGCAATGAACAATTGTGTTTGTCAGAGTCTTGTCGCACCTCAGAGGCTCCACAGCATGGCAACAGCCTTGCAGATACCGACGTCGTTATAGTTAAAGTAGCAGAGGCCAGCGAAGGTCACGGCCGACAGAATGTACAGACCTGTATTGGCCACTTTAATGGGTGTCTCTCCATGGACGTAGTCAGTTATAACCTGTCCAAGACCCCTAAAGAATGAGAGAAACGAGCTGAAATCAGGAGAGCATGCCTCATGAAAATCCACCGGCAGGCACTCTACTGTGACTGCCCTGCTAAAATGGCTCAAACTGTCTGTTTTTCCACCACCTATCACCAACCGTTATTACCAAAGTCTAGTTCCCACTCAGAAAGCAGATGCATGTACTGAAAATACATAAAAACATTTCACATGTTCTATTAAAATACAGATATACTGGCTTGGAGATTTCTTAACAATGCTGAGGAAAGAAGGTGCTGAGCACAGCTCTTCCAGAGATCTGCCTCCAGCTAACCTGATTTTGAAGGACTGAAGAAAACAGACCAAAGGAAATGCATTTCTTGCCCAAACTCTGTGACTGACCCTTGTCACAAATGCACACAAGACTCAAGGATGTGTATTGAGATTAGAAAACAGTTGGAGATTAGCATACTCTGTTTTTTTTCCTACATCTGTCAGACTTTTCTTGAATTCTGTGGTCCAGATTTAAACCATTCAGCAACAGCAAGACAGAGGGCTCTATCATCCTGCTGGGGTAGTTCTCTTCCCAGAAGCAGTTGTATTTACTTTCTGTGATGACAGATGGCAACTTGGTGAAAACGAGAAGCACACTTACTGCAACAATCTTCTTCCTAGAATTTTGCCTTGGTCTAACGTGAAGCTGAAGGACCTGTCTCCCATAAGTTAAGCCATGCTGGTGGCCTGGCAAGTTTCAAAGTCCTGCAGCAGATTCTACCCCAAGAGAACAGAGCTCAGCTTCACTCTGATGGGACTCTGATACCTTTGTGATGTTGAGTGTGAGACAAGGGGTGCGAGTAAGTCCTAGATACACAAAAGAGGAGCAGAAAGTGGAAGCAATCTGAAAGGCAACTAATTCTTGAATTATTATAGCTACTGCCTGTCACTGAATGGTGGAGTAAGGTCAGAAGTGCAAGCGGCATGCACCTGCACCATGAACTGCTCTAGGAACAGACAAGTAAGGCAGTAAGGCATACCCAACGTGGGATTCACAGGTTGTCCTTCAGCTGGAGCGCTGATAAAGGATCTTCAACAGATCTTCACTTTACACAGCAAAATAAACTTGAGTCATGCCAAGAATTGTCAGCAAAATTACTGTGTGACTTGACCACAGACTAATTAAACCACACAAAGCCCTTGAGAGAAAACACAAGTGGCCCTGAGAACATGAAAGGGAATTAGTGGGAAGCAGCTGGCCTGTGGTAGACACACGACCTAGTTCAAAACAGAGCAGCTTTGCTGGGCAGAGAAATATTTATTACACACCAGTGAAAACAGCAAAAGATGGCCCCAGGTGTCTTGACAAAGTGTAATAATATTTTAGAATAGTATTTCTGATAGCAAAACACAGCAAAAGGTGAAAGAAATCCCCTCAAAAATATATGCAGAATTCCTCTGTAGTTTCTGATCAGCTATTAGAGGGATTATCTGATCTGTTAGGCAATCAACTAAACTTTTAAGGCAAGCAAATCATCTTTTTTCTTTAAAAGATATTCTAGCATTGAATACATATGAAAGCTCTAGAGGAGGACTTTTCTGTGTAGGATTTAGATTCTTGCATCCACACTTTGTAAAAATAAGAGTTTGGTACTGGAACAACTTCTCAGCTTAAAAAGGGAACAACACAAGCAAGATGTGGGGGAGGATGTGGATTCTCTCTGCTGAAAGCTATGGCAGAGCTGCACAGAAGCAGCAAAATATTTTTCTCATGGGGAAATCCCCACGCCGCTTACAAAGAAATGATTCCCAGTATGAAAAGTCCTGATGCTGGGTAAGAGACATTAACTGACGAATCAAAGCTGTGTGCATCAACACCGAGTGTCACTCCAGGAACTCATTTCAACACAGTGGGCTGCAACAGCCTGTCCCACTGCCTGGAACTGAAATGCACGTGCCCAGCAAGCAGAGAAGTGTTCCAAAGCATGCAGGATTTGCTTTACCTGCTTTATATTTGAAAGAGCTCTGTCAACCAAGTTCAAGGACAGACGCGTTTCTGATGAATTCTGTGCTAGATTGGAGAGCTTTGGGAAGGAGCTGCCAGAAAGTGCAAGAATCCCTGCTGCAACTCCCTAAGGGCAGAACTGAGATTTAAGAAACCTCTCACCCCTAAGTCCATTTAAATTGCCTTATCGCTGCTGCAAGGAACTGCAGAGCAGCAGCACCTCAAGAATGTAACTGCTGCCAGTTGGGCCACCCACACAGCTGGATCCACTCCTAGATTCATAAAGGACAGAAAGCCAGGCCTACCCACATGAAAGACCACAGCAGAACTGTGCTTCAGAACGTAAGCAAGCATCTGTTTTGCAAGAATCAAGAAAATGATTAAGGTCAAAACATCTCCACTGCAATGTTTGTTCTGAACTCTTCTTTAGGCAGAATCTCATCACCATTAAGATGTACAAAGCAACCCATGGCTCAGAACCTTAGAAGTTGTTTTATGCAGGTCTGCCCTGTTCCTATTCCCTCTGTTCATAAAACATCACTTCTTTTAGAAGACAAAACCATCCAAGATTCTACACAGCCAGTACCAAGGCAGTTCTCCAAGGCAGGACTTTGGGTTTCATATCATACAGGAGAACACTACAGAATGTTTAGTTTACAGATTCCTTAGTACCAACATGTGTCCTGCCTTCTGACATACAGAACAGTGTGACAGAGAAACACCAAGGTACAGCAAGTCTTGTTAAAGGTCACTGACAGTTCACTGACAGTTTTGAGGAACCTACTGAGCTTACCAGTGGCCGTGGAGAGTGAGGGCTGCAGCCAGGGAGTAGTCCACGGCCGGTCCAGGGCATAGGTAGGCTGCGGGGAGGAGGCCCAGCAAGAGGACACTGACAGCTCGCTCGCTTGTCCAGTGCAAGGACGCAGCCTTGGAGCCGCCTGCAAGGTGAAGGACTGTGAGTGCAACGTTCCTGCTCTGGGTGCTGCAGCCTCACACACACCTCCTCCCATCGATGCCACCCAAGGACCTGTTTTTTTCCAACCTGACTACTACATTTCCGTCTGAGCAAAATCAAGAAGTCTCTGAATAACTGGAAGAGAAAATACATCTATTTTACAGTGCCTGGAGGGTTTATTTTAAATACTCTTCTTTGCTGCCACTGAGAAAAAGAAGCGTCTTTTAATTCAAAGAAGCAGAAGCTCAACGGGTGAGGTCAAAACAAACACAAGTCCTCACAACCCAAGTCACAGAGTAAATTTCTGGGACCATCACACTGGTGTGTGACCCAGAAGCAATCTGGAAGCCAGAGGACTTCAGCCCTCCACTGATGCTCGGTTGGGTACAATGTGGACCGTGTAACAGGGGACTCCAGACACGGACATGCTGGGTAGGAAGCTCTGTGACTAACTCTTACCTTCTAGAAGCGCACAGATACTGTTAAGGAGGGGGAAAAAAATCAGTTTTAGAGGAAGCCAAACACCTAATTTCACAAGCGATACCCTGAACCACAATTATCAGCACCAGCCCAAGCAAAAAACATCCAGAATTGACAATGCGTAATTACCTGCAGAAATCAATACCCCCAGGGTGCTTGCCTAACACTTCCATATTCAAACCAGCAGCCAAATGCTTTTGCTCCTTTTTGCAAATAGAAACAAACCAGACAGCAAAGCAACGGGATAAAGAAAGCAAAGAAACCTGCAGTAAAACACGGGAAGGATCTCTGCTGTGGACTCATAACCGTCCCTAGGGTATACCATGGCCAAGGAGGCTTCGCGGCATGTGTATGAAGTGTGTTTAGCCTGAAAGCCCGAGCGAGAAGGAAGCCGTCCGGTCGTGGTGAAGGCTCCGCTCTCCCCAACGTTTCTTCCCACTTCCAAGCCGCGTTGTGAGGGCTGCGCAGCGTCCTCAGCCTCACCGCGCTTCTCACAGCGGGGCCAGGCCCAACACTCACCTTCACTTCTGCTGCTGCTGTTACACCTTCCACCCTCCTTACCCACCGCCAGGTCACCGTGCGGGCGGCGGCACGAAGCGTTTAGCACGACAACACCCGTGTGAACGCCTCAGGGAGCGGGTTCGCTGCTCCCACACCCCCCGCAGCGCCCTGCGGCCGCTCAGCACGGCTGGGTGCGGGGCACCCCCCACGGACAGACAGACCCACGGACAGCCGCAGGGGGCCGTGCCGGGACGTACCGTGACCCTGCTGCCCGTGGCTCCCCCGGATCGGAGCGGCTGAGGCGAGTGCCGGCAGCACCCCCGGGCGGCGGCGGAGGAGGAGGAGGCTCCTGGTGAGGAGAGCTGCGGAGAGACGAGTGGGGGGCGGTCAGGGCCGGGGACAAAGAGACAAGAAGACGAAAAGGGACAAAAAGACGAAGGGACACGGGCAGGCTCGGGCCGTGCCGCACCACTCACCCGTCCGCGCTCCGCGGCCCCCCCCCAGCCCGGCCCGCAGCAGCGCCGCCGCCGCCATCTTGCGTCTCCCCCCTCAAGGGCACCGGAACGGGAAGGAGCGGGCGGGGAGCGGCCTCCGCTGCTCCGCCACCTCCCTCAGCGGCCGTGAAGGGCTCCCTGGGGCCCGGCCCGGCTCGGCGGGGGCTCCGGCTTCGTGTGGTGCCCTGCCCGGCCCTGCTGAGGTGCCTCCAGACCCCCCTCGCCCCGTCCCGTCTCGCCCCCAGCCCCCTCCCGCTCTCCCAGGGTTCTGTTCCGCCCCCCGGCTCTCTGTCAAAGCAAGCACCGAGCCCTCAAACAGCTCCGGATTTATTTGTCTCGTCAGAAGAAGGCCTGGCTGCTGCCCGGCGCCGAGATCCGGCCTCTGCCCTTCTCCGTGAATAGCACACGGCGCCTGCCGAGGGCTCTCTGCTGGCACAAAGGGGTGCAGCAGCCCTCTGGAGAGGAGGAAGGCAAGGCAATCTCCAGCCTGTGCCAGGGTTTGGAAAGACGTCTCAAACAAGCAAACGCACGAGTTTCTTGCACCACACCTCCTGCCAGAATGAGAGCATTCCCTCATGCTCCCATCCGCATCCAGTTGAGCCTGTGCCACAAAGCTCTGCTGCTGTGGGAGTGGGAAAGACACAGTTACCAGAGGGTAAATCCAGTGATACTTCCTTTGTTAGCAGCTCAGCTGATGGACTTCGTGTCTCTTATTGCAAGTTTTGGTCATTAATTGAGTAACCCAAAAGAAACAAACTGTTAAAACTTAATTAAAACAAATAAAAATGGTGCAAACATGCCTGCCCCCCCCCCTGCAGACAGCCTGTCACGTTTCTGTGCATCGAAGATCAACCTGGTCACATCAAGCAAATCCGAAGCCGGCAGGACAAGCCAACCTGCGAGGCAGGAAACTGCTCCCCCACCTTCCTGAGCACCGAGTCAAGGAGAAGCAAGGGGCAGCTCCTGCTGGCTGCCAAGGCTCAGTTCCCCCCGGGGGCTGGGAGGAAGGATAAACCACAGTGCTGAAAAATGCTGAAGGACGGGGCAGTGCTGAAAGGAAAATACCTGCCTCTGTCCTCTACCGTATTGCCTGAGCCACAGCCTGGACTCAGCAATTCCTCGTCAGTCCTCATCTGAGCTATCCTCAGATTTATCATCTGCAGCCACCTTCCAGTTCTTCCTCTTGCTCCTCTTCTCTGGTACTTCGGCGTGTCTCTCCGACACAGAATTGTGACGTTTCTTTCTCTTTCTGGGGGGCCGTTTCTCTTTTTTCTCCTCAGATTCACTGTCCTCAGAGCTGCTGGTGGTTGAGCTGCTTGCATGGGAAAAGTCACTTTCCTGCCCAGAAGACGAGGTAGGTTCCCTGACAGGCACTTTCCTGGTCTTTTTCTTGCGCTTGTGTTTCCCCTTGCGAGTGCCTGAAGTCTCCTCATCGGAGCATTCGCTCTCCTGGGAAGAATCTGACGACGTCCTCCCCTGCTCCTTTTTCTTTTTCTTTCGCTTTTTGTGCGAACGCTTTTTTTGCTTCTTCTTGTGCGATTTCTTTGTTCTTTTCCGTTTGTGCGACCCGTGGGCAGTTTGCTTTCTCAAATGAGATTTTTTCTTCCCATTAACAGCGTTCTGTTCCTCTCCTTCTTGCTGGTCACTGCAAGAACAAAGGATCACCAGAAGAAACCAGATGGGCAGGCACATAGCAGCTGAGCCTTTTCTATATCCAAGTTGTTAGCAAATCCATTGACTCAACTGAACAGTGCAGGGGAGTGGATGTAGTGGCTGCATTTTTGTTTCAAATGCTTGTTAACAGCTTGGACCACACCTTACTAATACCCCTGATCAAGGTATTCAAGGCAGAGCCAATGACAACATGTACTGAAAGCCATCAAGTGACAAAAAAAAAATAATTTACAGCAGGCTATTTCAAATCTGTAAGCCTGACAAATTTTGTACTTGATGACTGCTAGGTGCAACTTAACATAATTAACTCTAAGATCTCATTTTACAGCTAAGTCTCCACTTTCCAGGGGTCTGGGAGGGTTGATTTTCTCCAAATACGGACTAACACTGAAACCAGACACACTACAATGCAGTGGGGAATCCGGAGCTGGTATTTGACAGTGTGTCTACTGACCTGATTTGGATTCAGCCTACTTCTGTTTCCCTGCTGGCTCAGGCAGACCCTCCACAATTCACAGCATTTCAGTAACTCAAGCTCAAGCTGAATGTCTAATTACTACAGGAGACAATCCTCCCCTAAGACTCAGACAGGAGGGAACCACATTAATGGACTAGTTGTTTTCAGTGGGTATCCGTAACTAAACAGTGTTGCTTTGCCATTAAAGGTAGATCTAAAACCAAAACTTACAATAATTCAGTTTGTAAAATTCCCTGCATACCCTGACAAGACTCAGGATACATCTCTGAATCTGTTTGCTTTACCTGTCTGTATCAAATTCTTCAGGGTATAGCTCTTTATAGCCACTGTGACCCCATCTGTAAGAAGCAGAAACACGTATTAAAAGCAGAGAAGTGTTTAAGGGGAAAAAAGGTTCTGAAAAGACAGAGCCACAGAATGAGTTTAGACACAAGAAAGGAAATCAGAACCTTCCCAACAAGGAAAGAAGGAAAGAAAAAACAACTGATTTGATTAGTACTATTTAAAGACATTTGATGTTTTCAGGCTCCTTCCTACTTCTAATAATATAAGTTCCATTTCTTTAAAAGAACTCTGGGGAGCACTGTGTTGCACTTCTTTAGACTTTTATCAGTTCCTTGGGCAAAGAAATAAATACCAAGCTTAGGTGGTAAACTTAGGGCTTAGCTTTTGTGGCTTATTGTGACTTAGGAACTCTGTAGACAAATTCAAATCAGATACTCTGTGACAGTGCAAATGTTTGTGCCTCTTACTTACTCATTCTCAAAATGAGATGAAATGCTATTTTATAGGAGTACATATCGACAGGAGTAACACACTAATATTTTGGTACAGGACTCCAGAAAGGTGCTCCAATTATAGTTACAATCAGAGAACATTAAAACACCCCACAGACCTGTCAGGCATGTTGGCTTCACATTCATAGAGCTTTTTATTCCAGGACCGTGCTCTAAGCAAATCATCTTCGACTGGGTCAAGAAACTGTGAGTTCTTTGTTTTCCAGTCGGCCCTGTGACCCTCGTCATCGAAGCCATCACTGCGCATCCGACTGCTGCAGAAAGAGAACAGTTGTCCTTCAGCTGTCAGTTCTGATGGAGAAACTTTCTGAGCAAGGGGTTAGTCCAGCGAGGGGAGCAAAAATCCAGCAAGTCTTGAGTGTCCATCTATGCAAGAAGACCAACTATCATTTTAACGGACAGTCACCATTAAGAGCTCTCACAAACCAGTTCACGAGCTAACGCTGGTTTTCACACTTACTACTGCCTACAGTGCATGGCAAAATTCTCAGCCAACACACTGAATTAGAGGAAGGGGTTACCTTGCCGGCCACAAAAATGCAGTTCTCCTCCTTCAGAATACTCTGCTGGAGCAGACTAGCAACATGCAGTGAGACATAGCTGCTAGTAGAAGTCGGCAAATGAGGAACTTGGGAAGCAGAACTGACTTAACTGGAATTAGCTTGATTAGGTATCAGTACTAAAACTGAAAATCCACCAACAAGCACCAACAGCTCTAAGCCATCTCACATGTCTGCGGCTTGCTCTGTGCCACACTTCCTGAGCGAAGCAGCACCTGTGCACTTGGCACGAGTCTGCAAGGTGTTCTTCCCCGAGATACCAAAACCACTTCCTGCAGCATTTACATTTCTGCCATGTTGTCCCAGCATTTAAAAAAAGGAAACAAATCTCCACTTGCAATCCCCACCAAACCAGCTTGTTTTCGCATAATACTGCTTAAAAGGTGGACAATACCAATGTTGTACCAGAGCAGGACCCCATACTACAACAACTTTGGTTACTGATAACTTGAAGGCCAACACATTTAGACTTTCCTCACACCATTCTGACCTACAACTCCAGCACTTCTTATTCCAGCTCTTTCACAGAGCCCGGCCTACTTCCGGTTGTATTTTGAAGACTATACACGTAGATGCAAAGATAAATAGTCAGATTTAAGTGCAGGTCTGACTTCCTTCCAGGGACTCCATGCCTTATGTGGTATTCCTACATTATTAGGGGATGGCCAGCACAAAATACTCCTACAGCATTATAAAGCAAAAGGGTTCAGTGACTGTGCCAGGACAGTTATGTCCTCCACACAAGTGGTGCCCACCTGGAGGTGTCCGACAGCATCCTGCTTCGCCTCCTCCAGTATGTCTCTTCTGTCTGCTTCTCCCACTCCCTGATTTTCCACATTTCTGTCTCTTCCTGGATCTGAAAGCCACAAAAAGGAAAAAAACGTAAGCGTGTTACAGCAGCCCCCAGCTCAGCGGGGGAGCGAACCCTCCACGAACACGTGAAATTCACCGCTCGGCCGGGCCAGCAGGAGCTCAGGTCGCGGTTTGCTGAGGACCACGGAGCTCCTACACCGCGCCGGGCACGCTCCCAGAAGCCGAAACTTCTTCGCTGCCACCCAAAGCACACTGCGGGAACGATAAGGCACCCACCCGGCTGCTTTACAGCCTCGCTGCTCACAAAAACCCGGCGGCGCCTTCCCCCCGCCCGACCCCCGATAACTCCGGCGGGGCTCGGGGCCGGGCCCTACCTTGTTGTGCGCTCCCGTGTGCCTCATGAGGTTCCGCAGCAGCACCTTCCCCACCGGCACCCGAGCCATCCTCCGGCCCCCTCCGCTCCCCTCCGGCCCCAGCAGGGCCCCGGCCCCCGGACGCGGCCAGGCCCAGCGCCTCCCCCGGGCGGCTGCGGCGGCGGAACGGGGCCGGGCCCTGTCGCTACGGCAACGGGGCCCTGCCGGAGGAAATGGCGGAGGGCGAGCCCCTGCCTTGCTCGAGTCTCCTGAGGAGGGTTGGCGGAGCCCCGGCTCTGCCTGAGGGCTCAGCCCCGCGGGGCCGCCCCGCTCTTCGTTAACGTGTGCGGCTGCGGCGCGGTGCCGGCCCCCGGAGGCCCCCGGGCGCCCGTGCCCGTCAGGGCCGGGCCGCTGGAAAGGGCGGCCGGAGATGGGGGTGCGGGAATAAAGCGGGGGCTGAGGGAGCTGGGGGGCGGCATGGGGGGAAGCGGGGGGAGGAGGATGAGGGGAG